ATGTGCCTGGTTTGGCGTGAACTTCTGTTTTACGGGCACATGAGGACGACTCACGACGTCGCTTCGCTGGGGACCTTTTTGTCAGGGTCCGTGACCGCTGCTTCGGCTTCGTCAAATACGCTGGCCAGCCGTCAAACTTCCTTGGAATGGCACAAGGCTTCAGAAGGGGCTTGTCGCGCGGAAGTGACACTTTTTTGCCATTCACCTCGAATTCATCTGCGCGGACGATGTCACTGTCATCGAAATGCTTCTCGCACACTCTCACATACTTAGAGTCGAAGCAAAAGTCACCCGTTTCTTGCCTTGGAAATAAGCGCTTCCATGTCTCGCGCAGCACGCCGTCGCTGGGTAAACAGAACAAGGAAACTTTTTCTGTTCTGCCCTTGTACCCGGAACGACATCCCGGGACACAACACGTGTTCGGCATCGTCGCTGCACTAACGCCGCATCACAACAGCACGATATGCACGTTTCCCACACAAAGCAAACAACTCGCAGCGTCGTTCGAGCCAGCGCAACGCCGCCCGACCAGCCCGACGAATCCCCTCAGTGAGATGGTGGCGCCTTTGCGCGGCAACCCAACGCATCATATGAAGCTCTCCCATTGAGTTACGGAGCAGTTTCGTGACCAGTAAAATTGAAGGACTCTGGTATCGGCGTACCGAACGAGCAAGGCCTGGCCAGAAGAAACGGCGCCGGATCCGCGCGTACGTGCGGGATACACCAAGGTGTCCAGCCGTGGGAGCGTCGTGAAGTTCGGTGAGAACACAGCGGCGCAAATTCTTAGGCTCAACAATGAGAAGGTCGGGCCCATCTAGTCGGAAATTGCGACGGTATAGCACACCCTTTTGAATGACAAAGTAGCGGACGGAAGCATCATTTGTGGAGGATTCCATACGGCTGATGATGTCAAGCAGCTCTGGATCACGCTTCTGTTCTTCCCCAATATTAAGGAAGTCGGACACTGACAAGATAGAGTTCTCCGTGGGCTCGTCAGTGTCCTCAGGATCGTCGACAGGGTACCGGGAGAGGCAATCAGCATCACGGTGTAGGTGGCCAGATTTGTAGACCACCGAATAGGAAAACTCTTGCAGGTGCAAAGCCCAGCGACCAAGGCGGCCTGATGGATCTTTCAGAGAGTTGAGCCAGCAGAGTGCGTGGTGGTCGGTAACTACCGAGAATGGGCGTCCGTATAGATAAGGCCGAAATTTCGCCACCGCCCATACAAGAGCCAAGCACTCACGCTCTGTTATCGAATAGTTACGTTCAGGGGCGGATAGGAGGCGGCTGGCATATGCAATAACGCAATCATGGCCATGTTGTTTCTGAGCCAGCACTGCACCAATGCCATGCCCACTTGCATCTGTACGGATTTCTGTAGGGGCAGCAGGGTTGGAGTGTGCCAGAATCGGAGGGGTAGTGAGAAGAGCGACGAGAGTCGAGAACGCTGAAGCCTCTTCGGAGCCCCATGAAAACGGGACTTCTTTCTTGAGGAGCTGTGTAAGTGGCCTCGCTATGTGCGCAAAATTTTTCACAAAGCGTCAGAAGTAGGAGCATAGTCCGATAAAGCTACGTACATCCTTCGCAGATCGTGGTACAGGAAAGTTTTTGACGGCGCTGATTTTTGTCGGGTCTGGTTGTACACCGTTGGCGTCTACTAAATGGCCAAGCACTGTGATTTGATGGCGTCCAAAGTGACATTTGGACAAGTTGAGCTGCAGGCCAGCGCAACGGAAGATTCCCAGGATGGCTGAGAGGCGCTCTATGTGAGTTTCGAATGTTGGTGAAAAGACGATGACATCGTCCAAGTAGCACAAACAGGGGGACCATTTGAATTCTCTGAGCAGGGAGTCCATCATTCGTTCGAAGGTGGCTGGAGCGTTACAAAGGCCGGAGGGCATGACCTTGAACTGATATAGGCCATCGGGGGTGATGAATGCCGTCTTTTCACGGTCCATTTCATCTACCTCTATCTGCCAGTAGCCGGAACGAAGGTCTATGGAGGAAAAATAGTGGGACCCATAGAGGCAATCAAGCGCATCATCTATTCGTGGCAGGGGGTAGACGTCTTTTTTGGTAATTTTGTTTAGGTGTCGATAATCCACACAGAAACGCCATGCACCGTCTTTCTTGCGGACTAGCACTACAGGAGAAGCCCAAGGACTGCAGGATGGCTCAATGATGTCCTTGGCGAGCATTTTGTCGACCTCACTTTGGATGATGTGACGCTCAACCGCCGACACCCGATATGGACGCCTATGAATAGGATGCTCATTACCAGTGTTTATGCGGGGGCTCATACCGGTAGCTTTCCCCAACGGACGGCCGCTGATGTCAAAAACGTCGATGTAGGACAGCAGAACCCGGTGGAGCTCATCAGTCTGCTGCGGCGTTAAGTTGGAAGCGATCATCGAAGTAATAGCGCTGTCGGAGCAAGTGGCAGATTGATGTTGAGCATGGGGGTCAGAAGGGGCGGCCATCGCGAAGACATCTACCGTATTGTCTTCTAAGGTGCAGAGCAATGCCAAAGAGATCCCTTGTGGCAAAACTTGAGGTGTCAAGCTAAAGTTGACAACTGGGAGGCACGTATAATTTCCTGCGACGGACATAATAGTGTGCGGTAATGTAATGCCACGGCTTATGAGAACATCGGTGATAGGGGTCAGAACATAGTCACCGTCGGGAACTGGTGGTATTGAGCCGAGCTCTATGTAGGTCAGTGTCTGTGGAGGGAGGTGCGCGTGTCCCGTTGTGCAGAGGCGACTCGGCCGTTGTGTAAGAGGTTCTGTTGCGGGCAAGTGTAGACGGAGCATACTGGTCGAACAGTCTATGAGGGCAGAATGCGCGGACAGGAAGTCGAGGCCTGAGATTACGTCGTGGGGGCATTTATCAAGGACGGTGAAGAGAACAACTGTGTGTCGATCCGCAATGCTCACACGAGCGGAGCACATTCCAACGATAGATGCTATTCCACCATCCGCAACAAGGACGAACTGAGTGGTCGCAGGTGTGAGAACCTTCTTAAGCTTGCGGCGAAAATCACTCGTCATCACGCAAAGTTGGGCGCCGGTGTCGACAAGAGCAGTGGCATGTACGCCGTCTACTTGTACGTCTATGAGGTTCCGTTTTGTTGGTATCGTCAAAAGAGGATTTTCGGTCAGTCCGAGCGATGCAGCGCCACCTCTGGGGGCTGCAACGCTTAGTTTTCCGTCGGGGAACCTCGTGGGAAGGCGGGGGAAGATGGTCGGCGGGGCTGTGGAGAACGAGACTGGCGACGTTCGGGGGATGGAGAGCGGGAGTAGCGGTGTTCAGAAGCAGGTTCCTGGGCAAAATGGTCGCGGCTGGTCTCATGGCGATAGGCAGGACGTGCATAGAAGGGACGAGAGGACGGTTGTGCAGGAGGACCCCAGCGACTTCTGCAATGGCGAGAAATGTGCCCGATTCATTGACACGAGAAGCATATCAACTTGTCATCGCATGTTCGCCTTGCGAACGGATTACGGAACGTTGCGGGAGAGCTGGTCGGGAAGGGACGTGCAGGCGTGTATCGGGGCTGGTAGTCGGTACGGGGAGGCGGTGAGGTAGAGTGAATTCCCAAGCTGGCGATTTCCTGCCGGACGACTGCTTGAATGAGAGGCAACGTAATTGGCGGAGAGGGGTCAGGGGACGTTGGTCCCACCTTAGCTGGAGCAGTCGCTTCAAGCTTCCGCCGGACGATTCGCGTCAAGTTGTCACAGGTGTCTGGTGGATGATATGTGTCGAGACACGAGGATGTCGCAGTGGTGTTCGGGAGGCGCTGGAACTGATGGGAGATGCGTCTGCTTTTAGCTTGTTGGAACCGGCAGCATTCTTGAATGACCGCATCAACAGATGACACATTGTTGAATACCAACAAGTTGAACGCATTGTCGGCGATACCCTTTAGGATATGCGCAACTTTTTCAGTTTCAGACATATTTTCGTCAGCTTGGCGGCATAGTGAAAGGACAGTCTGAATATAACCGATGTAGGGCTCCGTGGAACATTGTGCGCGAGTCGACAACTCATTTTTCGCAGCTTCACGACGACCAGAGATGTTGCCAAAAAGCTCACGGATCTTTGCCTTGAAGCTGTCCCAGCTTGTTATGTCATGCTCGTGGTTATCAAACCAAACACGAGGGGTTCCGTCGAGATAAAAGATGACGTTTGCGAGCATAAGAGTGGGATCCCACCTGTAAGTGGCGCTGATGCGTTCGTAGAGGCGTAGCCACTAGTCGACGTCGGAACCCTCGCTGCCCGAGAACACGCCGGGGTCTTTGAGCGTGGGAAGCGTCACGAAAGTTGTCGCGGGCGCTGGGTTGACAGGTCGGGCAGAAGGGGGAGCGACCGGAGAGGATGTAGCAGAGTCTTGAGTTGTCATGTTGTAAGCCGCGAGGGAGCGTCCGCTTCGGAGTTCCGTGGCGAGGACGGGGATCGCACAACTCCACCAAATATGTTACGGGTAGGAGACTGACTCAGAGGGGTAGTCACCGATGTATTTACAGCCGGTTAGGCGAGTAGCGCCAGCCACACAGATTAGCTCGTGCCAGTCTGTCTGCTTTCTCTTCTTCAGCTCCATGCACTAACACGTAGCAATAAGACAGAACTATTCTTCACGTCATAATCAATAACTCGTGATATATGCACGCACTGAGACCTCGTTATAAGAGTCACATTTGCCACGAAAATACTTTGTTACATCCAAAAGCTTGATATAAACATATGTTCGTAACATCGTGACTTCACTTACTTCGTTATTACTGATCATTCGTCATATCCGCTGATGCTCGAACTTCATATTAAAGAGTCGCACCTCTCACAAAAATACTTCGTTTTATCTCAAAATATGTTACAAACGTATATTCCTAATACTGTATCTATAAAAAACTATTCTTCATTACTTTGTTATAACCAATAATTCGTTATAACGAGCAATGAGTGTATTTCAGTGCGGAAGGGGCCAACACTGCTCCTCTACACAGGGGACACCTTCTCCTCCTTGGATGGAATTTTCTTTGACTGGAGCTTCCAACAAGACAAGCCTGTGCTCAGGTTGGTGGCACAAAAGTACTGTTGTATGTGACCTTGTTTGCTTGAAGCTCGCAATGTGGGATTTTTAAGCTTGTGCTAATATTTGAGCATTTCGAATATATGAATATTAATTTTTGTCTTCGCTTCAATTAAATTTCAGTTACGGGAAATTTGGAGGTATTCGGAATGAACCAGTAGCTTTATATTAGTCTGCATGTGATTAGTCTGCTCATTTCCTTTGTTAGACAAAATAATAATAAGAACCAACAGACAAGAAAATGTGAAAGTGGTTTTATTGCAGTGAAGGGATGCTATACATAGTGTTCACATGACGTCACAGGCAGGTTCTGTGAAAGCTTTTTTTTTCTAAGTTGAACGACACAGTACACTCATTTAACTGTGGACGCCCTGTAGATCATGTTGTAAGTCATTTCGGTCTGATATTTTTCTTGCACTCAATCATAAGTCTCCAAAAGTTTAGAAGTACACAAATGGGTACCATCACATTTTGAGATAATTATTCAATTTTTGGATTCATAATTTTTATGTGTTTGTTTTTAAGGGCAGGGAGTCAAATAATACAGTTTTGCAAAAGCATTTTTCATTGGTGCATTCTTGGGACTGAGGAGGACATACACAAACTGGTGAGTAATATTTATACAGGGGCATGGCCTAACATGGTGGTGGCTGTTATTGGGTTGTAAAGTCCCGTCGCGCAACGGATGCACGGTCGTTAGCTGCAGCGTCAGGTCCCTGCAGCAGTTGTACCACTCGTCCTTAAAGAGGCGTAGGCTACGAAGCATAGCCACAGGACATTTTGCATGTCCTCATGAGAGTGACGTCGCTCGGCCGAGATCCACTCCTGGTCATGCCCCACAGATTATAGGGCATCGCTGAGAAGGCTGGAGCTCTCTGCCGAGATCTTTGCTGGCAAAGTTTGGGCTAACGCCTTCCCACTGCTACCACTCGTCTGCTCCTCTTTCCGTTCCAGTCTGCCCTGACCTCGCTCCTCTATGCCGGCAGCATCACCTCTCATGGCCGTTCTTTTTTCAATTCTCTTTAAATATGTTCTAATCTTGTTTTTTTTTATTCTATCTTTCCTCATTTGATATCCTTCTTTTCTCTCATTTCTTCTTCCTTCTCCCACCATTCGACATGCTTATAACAATGGTAACATGACCAATCAGTTATGCTTTCAAGACCGAGCTACCTTTGAGGCAAGCGCCAAGGTGCCGACTCCTTCTACTAGCATTTCGAGGGGCCATCAAACAATCGAGGAACTGCGTCGGCCCTGAGCTTCGCTCTTTCATGGGGCAATCTAACAACGGTGCCTTGGATAATGCACTTGTCTTTACGAATGATGTCCTTCTTATCTAAATATATTTTGCCTACAGAAATGTTTGATCAGCTAAAAGAAAATGTGCCTGTTTCTTAGCGTAGTATATCTTGACGGGGTATCGCCCTGTTTCCACTTCTCTTCTCTGTCGGGGTCACTGGGAAATGCGAACGACACTTTTTTGATGGTTTCTCTATAACCAGATCTGCAATGTGGCACATAGTATGTCTTTGGCATCATTTGTCAAGTTGCTGCTAACTATTTCTCACAGTCAGAAAAGGTAACAAGCACACACAGCTCTGTGCACTCGTGATAAACACGACACAAATCGAACAGAACCAACACACCGCGGCGTCACCTCACCTCACTGACCTCCGCAGCACCACTTAGCTGGAGTGAAGGTGCAGCTGACTATTCGGCACGTTTGAAAATGTTAACACGCACACATAGCACCACACACTCCCAATAAAACACAATGTCCAGAGAACACACACTAAACACACATCATGTCGACGCCTCTCTGGCTTTGACCAGTGCTCCCCGAACATTGGTGGTGCTGTGCCGTGGTCAGAGTTGGCAGCATACAAAGCTCTCCCATAGAGTGACAGAGAAGTTCCGTGACCAGTAATAAGTATTGAGGGACAAGGGGGGGGGGGGGGATATTACCCTTGCATTCAAGTCATCATTTTTAATGCAAAAGCATTTCTTGACTTACTGCAGGCATTTTAAGCATCTGTCTGTCTGTCTGTCTGTCCGTCCGTCCGTCCGTCCGTCCGTCCGTCCGTCCGTCCGTCCACCTTCATCTGGGTGCTCTCGTGATTACCCCCTTAACTTGGGATGAACTAAAATTAATATGAGAGGGTAAGATGGTCTGAGAAGTATGATTTTCTGGTCGTGACATCAACATAGGCAGAGACGACTTGTCTGAAATGAAACTGTTTATCAGGCTGAACTTGTAGCCGGTAAACAAAAAGTCTGATTACGACGATACACACTGGAACAGGGTGAACAGAGCATCAACCGGGCATCAACCGACAAGTGGCGAAGCTCATTGACATTTATTCATGAGCTGTCGAATATCCATGCCTTATCACTGCGCGTTGGGAAAATTCTCGAACAATCTCGAGTGTTTGTGCCTTAGGTGCAATCTTAACAGAACGATCTACAAAAATCACGAACCTTCTCGAACAATGAGGCGCAGTTTGCGCTGAGCATTTTTGACAGCCTGTGTGGACGAAAGCTGAATGAAAGGAAAGTGAAAATAAATGCCGGTGGCATTGCCCCCCTCTGAAAAAGCATCGTCCCGATGATTGAAAACAGAACACAGGGGATAAATGTAAGAACAACAAAAATGACAACAATCAAGGAAAAAAGTGCAATACTAAGGAAACAACTAATACAGTCATTAGGTTCATTAACACAAATAAAACGGCTTTAGGCGCCCGACATGAATGACTTCAGGTGGCGCACGCCGCCATTGAGAGCTCATGATGCATCAAGAACAACCTTGTAGTCGAGTGGGTCGAGATGTTGAATTACCCTGTGCGATTCGAAGTACCGTTGCAGAAGTTTTTCACTGAGGCCACGTCGGCGTGTGGGCGTCCATACCCAAACGTGGTCACCAGACTGGTATTCTATGAAGCTTCATCGAAGATTGTAATGGCAGCTGTCCGACGTCTGCTGAATTTTTATGTGCAAATGGGCGAGTTGACGAGCTTCTTTAGTGCACTGAAGGTAGATGGTGACGTTGAGGTTTTCTTCGTCAGCGACTTTGGCAGCATGGCATTGAGCGTAGTGGTTGCGTTCCTTCCGTAGACCAACTTCTACGATGACATCTGCGTCATCTCCTGCATCACCATGTTGTATTGGAAGGTCACGTATGGTAGGATGGCATCAAATGTCTTGTGTTCGACGTCGACATACATGGCGAGTATGTCGGCAATTGTCTTGTTTAGCCGCTTGGTGAGGCCGTTGGTCTATGGGCGGTATTCTGTCATCTTGTGGTGGCTTGTCTGGCTGTATGCCAAGATCGCCTGGGTTAACTCCGCAGTGAAAGCCACACCTCTTTTGGTAATGAGGAATTTTGAAACACCATGATGCAGGACAAAGTCTTCAAAGAAGAACTTAGCTACCTCGGCGGCCCTGCCTCGGGGTAGGGTATTCGTTTTGGCATAGTGCGTGAGGTAGTCAGTGGCGGCAATGATCCATTTAACCAATATGCTGGAACGGCCGCTTAAGTGGTTCAATCGGCTGAAGGAAACTTGTTGGTCTTGTCTGCGGTGTCTTTGGTCATTGACAGTCTTGGCATGTCTTGATGTAGTGTGTGACGCCGGCGGAAAGTCGTGGTTGTATTCTTGTGAGTTGTATTCTTGTGGTTGTATTCTTGTGAACGACGGAAAGTTCAAAGACTTAAATTTCTCTATAATATATATCACGGTAAGACTGGGCTAAATAAAGAGTGGTATTTAAAGACACCTAGTTATATGTCGGAACGGAAAGATCACTTATATAAAATTAGAGAATATACCTGTCGATTGAATGTCCTTAAATACTCTTTCCAAATTCTATTAGTGACTGGAATGCGCTAAAAATACCAATATTCTCTGATTCTAATTTCCTAACAGCCATTGAAACAGCATTTTGAGCTGCTGAAATAACCCATATATTTAACGTTGGCTTTGTACTTCTCTTGGTTGTTGATTTTTTATATGTATAATTACTGCTTTCGTTGTATAATCCTGTGTTTTGTACTTTTGTTCTAATGCTGTACTACAAGTGTTGATTTCTGCTGTATACTGTAATGCACGATTTATTTGCTTTTAATTTTGCTGTTTTGTATTCTATTTTCTACTGTAACCCTCCTACAACAATGCCCAATGGGCGATGTAGGTACTTGTAATAAATAAATAAATAAATAAATAAATAAATAAATAAATACAAGAAACACTGATGTGTCCAGCCATCAGGTCTTCGTTTAGAGCCTTGAGGACTTCTAGTTTCACCATTGAGAAAACCAGGAGAAGGTGTTTGGTTCGAAGGGGCGAGAAATTCTTCTTAAGAAGAACTCTGTTTCGAAGGAGGAGCGACGCCAGTCCTCTTTTGAATACCGTGGGACTAGTGCCGCTGTTACCCTCGAAGTACTCCACATGGCTCCTGAGTTCCGGGTCAGCTCGCTGTCGCTTGGTGAAGTCATCGGCATTTATGGTTCCCAAGAAGCAGTCATAATCCGGGTCGTGCTTCGGTAGTGGTACGACGGGGGCACTAGACAGGCAGTCGGCATCACAGTGTTTTCTTCTGGACCTGTAATGTCGAATTCCTGATGTCTCAGGCTCCACCAAGTGAGGTGACTCGAAGGGTTTTCAAATCGGCTAGCCAACACAAGGCGTGGTGGTCACTCACACCTTTGAAGGGCCTGCCACAAAGGTAGGGGTGGAACTTCGATGTAGCCCAGATGATGGCACAGCACTTCTTTTCTGTTGTGGAATAGTTGGCCTCTGCCTTTGATCAACGTTACTAGAACCAAATCAGTTTCGCAGCTCCGTGCGCACGCCGGCACAAGCGGCTGACGCGTGAACTAATGGTGCTGCTGTTCTGTTTTGCTTCACATGCTGCGCACACGCGAGTTGCTGCTCATACACATCATGTTTTCGGCAATCGCTTGCTTCTTCGCGTCGTTATTTAGTGA